AAAAGATCCAGACACAATTTTCGATTTCCAATCTTTTCAAAAATGTGTAATGCAGAAATGATTTCTTATTTCCCCATTTCAAATAGTTGTAAATATCAATGCGATAAAACATGCTTGAGTACATGCGCAATTAGAATAAAATGATAGAGCCTAAAACGATGTCTTACCTCGACCATGCAATTCATCATAGTTATCCATGCCATTGCCTACCATAGGAATAAGAAATAAACATATAATAATTAACACACTGAATTTGTGAGTGACAACGAAATCCAATATAGAACATATAAAGATAACATATATGCAGATAGCGCTACTTGTTTATATACAATTGGATTAATAAACATTACATTACGCGCACATATGTTATATATATCGTACAAACATAATAATAATTAACCCTTTGTCAATAATATGCATAACATATAGATGCACAGCCAGCCTCTTATTTTTCCATTTACAATTGTATTCCATTCAGAGAGAGTTCAGAGAGACAAATAATTTTTTTAAAACAAGTGTGACAACAACAAAAATACCTACTCGTTTAGCTATTTCACTACACTCTAATTTAGCCACGAAAGAGTTAATTTGTCGCGATCGAGATCAATAGATAAAAACTGGATTACTCACTTTGTGGCGTTTTAAATGAGATTGTCGTGGAGAACGGTCCGTATCCCTTTAAATTGCGAGCTTGGATCTTGAAGTAGTACATCGTGTTAGGCTGCAAACCCTTCACAACCGCGTCCACTTTGTCGCCAATGACGCCCTCCACTTGCCAGTCGCGATCCCATTTAGTATTATCGGTGGAATAAATTATGAGATAACCTAAAAACACCGGTGATAAGTCAATATGCTCCGCTTTTGCAATTTTTAGAAAACCTACCTGTAACTTGGCCGTTGGATTGCTTGGGAGGTTGCCATCGCAATAGAACGGAGGTCGGATGATCCTCGACGGTTTGAATAGTGAGATCCCGCGGTGCTGTGCTGGGCGCGGCTTCCTGGGTTTGATTTAGAACGACCATACTCCACGGCGAGCTCCGTTTGCCCTAAGAAAGTTCATTCTGTAGCGCACATCGGTCTTCCACACCGCGCGTCATTGACATGCGTTTCATACCTTGACCAACTTGACCGTAAACTCGTACTGCGTGTTGGGCTTCAGATCGTGAATCATGCAGTTGAGATCGGTGGCGTTGAAATATTTGTATCTCGGACTGTTGCTGTGATGGTAGGATGTGTAACGCACCACGTAGAACCGACTATCGGTGACATACTAAAAATAAATGTGCTCGTTACGGAGATATTTTCGCCTGACCTTTCCCTCACGCGCGTCATTTTACGAGGTTTTATAAGATAATGCGATCGCATATGACGTAAACGTACTTGACTTTTCGATAAAGTCGTGTCAGTCCAATACAGCACAACGGTAGTAGCTGAGAGCACGATAGCTTTAAGGCCAACTGGTGGTATTAAAGGCACTGCGGATTCAGATACAAAACGTTCGGGAGTTCTTATATTCGCGTACGCTGGTTGACCGTCGCCAACGTTATTCGTTGCTCTTAAGGATATTACGTACTCCGCTGTTGGTTCTAAAATGAAAAAAAAAAAGAATAGAAATTGGAATCAAATTAGAAACATTTTGTTCCGAAGGTAGAACTTTCGCGTCGCGTGTTTTACCTATAGGTTTGATGGCGTAAGATCGTTGCTTGCCATCGAGAATTTGAAACTCGACATCAGGATAAAATTTGCCCCAGCCTAATTTGTACGATCTCACTTTTATGCTTGGATCTTTCGGGGGATGCCACAATACTAGTATAGAATCCGCCACAGCATTCGCTGTAACAAGAATATTTTACAGCAAATTAGTAATTAAATTGTACTTTGTTATTTTACTGTATAAAATAAAAAAATATAAGAAATGTAAGTATATGTATTTCACTACAAATCGAATATAGATTTTATCATAATTGAAATAAATGATGTTCACCTCTTAGATTACTGGGTATATTGGGTACTTTCGTTTCGTCCAGATCGTTCTCGTATGTTTCTATTTTCGTCCACTCCGTCCACGGCCCAGTTCCATTGACGTTGAAGGCACATATGCGAACTTGGTACACGACGTGCTTCTCAAGCCCGTTCAGCACGTACAGACGTTGATTTCCTGTCACCGTAATCGGGGGACGGCGATGGGAATCCCCGGATTGATCGTGCGGATATTTGCGATAACGGATTTTGTAACCCGTGATAATCCCGTTCTGTCCCTTGAGCGGAGGCTCCCATCTTATGATAATACTCTAAAAACATACACATTCAACGATGTAAAACAGACAAAATTTTTAAAATATTGACACTCGATTCAATGCGTGTATAAATGTATTTGAATGCCGTACCGTCGAACTAGCTGCTTCTAACGTAACGTTATACGGCGGTTGCGTGGGTTGTGCGCTGTGAGTCCGAATGTCGAAATCCTTACTAAACGCGCCCGGGCCATTCTCGTTGACCGCTTGAACTCTAATACTGTATTCCGTATAAGGCACGAGATCTACCAAGTCATACGTTGTACTAGTAGTTTCACGCGTTACTTCTTCATCGTCGCCCTGAAAGTCGCGAATCGAATTAGAGACTTGCGATCGATCGTCACTTGCAATGCAATGGCACTCACCTCCATAAATGTAATAATATATTTAGATATTCGACCGTTAATAATATCCGGCTCGTTCCACGATAAAGTAATGCTCGTGCTACTTGTCGCGTGACCCACCACCTCTTTCGGCGGTCCAGGAACATCGGCCTGAAAGATCGCACGAAATATTACAAACAGAAAGAGTGCATTAGTGAAGAAATTTCTCAAAGATTCGAACCTCTATCAGCGTTGTGACTGGCAGTACTTCACTAGGCGCGCTGATTCCTCGAGCGTTCTGCGCGATCACATGGAACTGATACGTCATGCCGGGCTGCAAGGTGCGTACCATGGCCTCCAGCTTCTGTTGCGTTTGGATGACTCTCTCCCTGAATGCAAAACATAAACGGCGATTAATAATTTTGAAAGTTTACAGTTCGATGATCATTTCAACGATTTATTTCTGCGGCAATGATCACCTCATGGCTCCTTCTTGCTTGAAATGAACGGAGTAATTGATGATGTCGCCATTCGTATTTTCCGGCTCCTGCCAGCGTAGCGTAACGAATCTCGCGTTGACGATGACGAGGCTCAGGTTCCTCGGCGGGGACGGCACACCGCCGTCAAACGCCTCATGAGTGTCCGTGCCATCTATAAAATGGGTGTCAGGATCGTAAAGGAAGTTAGGATCCTTAATCGAGCCTGGGAGGAGGTCCGCGGGATCGTCGGAGGGACTTATGGAGAGCGGTGGGTTCGGTGTAAGCGATAACGTGTGTCCTAGGAGGGTGCTCGGATGTTGCCACGTCTTATTATACAACTGTCGGTGCTGCAATAACTTTTTCTTGGGAACTGTCTTGGGAGTTGTCGTTTTACGGGAATTCGTTCTCTCTGCATACGTGACGTTAGCATGCGGAACAGTTAACCGGCAGGGAACACGCGAGGGAGAAAGAAATAAATAAAAATGAAATTAAAATAATAAAACAAATTACGTAACAAAATAAACGTAATAGTAGAAAAATAAACGTAATAGTAGAAAAATATCATTTGTGGAAAATAAATATACACAAAATCATTTCAACTCTGATATTCATCTGCGTAAGATATATAAAATAAACCGTTCCAACTCTGATATCTGTTAATCAGCAAATATCAAGCGAGAATTGCGCTTTACAAAGAGATTTCATAAAACTCACTGAGTTCGTTGATTGTGAGACGGGCTGCGGCTTGAACACTGCCAGCGGAATTCACGCCTATGCACTGGAAAATTCCTGCATCAATAGGTAACAGTCCATTGATTCTCAAGTTGTCTCTGCAAGCAAAAAAAAAATAATAATAAAGTATCATAAAATTGAATTTAATATAAATTACATTAAATCATAATCGAGTTTTCAAGATAATTATCTTATCGTTTTTAATAATTTACGAAGCACGATTTTACACGGAATTTTTTTTATCAAAATACATTTTTTTTAAATACATACCCATTGACGATTTGCCAGTACGCGCTCAGTGTGATGCGCTCGCCGTTCTTCAGCCACGTGATTTTCGGCTCTGGTTGACCGTAGATCTTGCACTCAAACTCCAGATCTTGATTCTCACTCGCCGTCTTGTCCTCCGGCTTTTTTATGAATTTCGGCGGAACTGAGAATTGAATCAAGCGTGAAATTTCGCGACTCAAGACAGCGATAAGGAACTGTTGTGGGCGCGTCGCGTGCATACCTTGTACAATTAATTCAGCGACCGCGTCCAAGGAGTCCACATCGTTTTCCGCACGACACTGATACGAGCCTTGATCCGATTCTCTGACCTGCGTGATCATTAGGCTGGAGGCTGCGACTTCGCGATACCTTGCAAAACAGACGCCGCAACGTCAAGATCACGTTCGCTACAATCGCGCTATTTGCGTCGATAATAATTTTGTACCTAGAATCGGACGACGTCAAATCGAGAGCGACGCCGTCCTTGAGCCACAGAATCGTCGGCTTCGGATTACCGTTGGCGGCGCACTCGAGGGTCACGGCGGACCCTTCGACGGCTACTTGTTGCAAAGGTTGTGCGATGAATACCGGAGCGTTGGATTCTTCATCTACATACGAAATATCAAGTAAAGTGTCCATAAATCTGATTCTGTCTCGTTAATATCCGATCACCACGCGGGACTTACCGATGTCGCTGGATATTAAACCTAATTGTGCTTTGTTGCTCAGTCTATATTGGCCGTAGCCAGTGGCGTTACATCTGTACGAGCCGATGTCGTTATTCTGAACGTCGTCGATTTCCAACGCGCCTGCGAGAAGGCAAACAAGATGAATTATCGAAATTTATGTAATAAAAATAAATTTAAAAAAATATATATAAATGAATTGCAAATAATATCGTTCAAATTGTGATATTTACTCGAGATAAATACTTTAAAATAAATAGAAACGAAATCCCGTTTGATTTCCAATATTTATTAAAACCATCAAACGAGAGCGCGCGTCCTTTAAAGAAGCTGTGTTTAATTAATTGCTAATAAATAACCGCGCAGAAGTCAGAAGCTGTGAGCCGCTGTCGTACCTGACGGTAGGATAGTCATTCGACTTTTATCGAGCGCTAACGGATGCTCGTCCTTCAGCCACTGTATCTTTAACAGGCTCGAGGAGGCGGGCAGGGCGCAGCTTAAATATGCAATCTGTCCGGCATAAACCATAGTGTCCTGAGGCTCTCTCTCGAAACCGGGCAGGCCTTTAAAGAAAGTCGATCGTTACATTATGCATTTCGTCGCACGTGCATTATGGAATACTTTCGACGGTCTCCTAGAAGTCTTCTAAGGAGAGTAAATCTCCCAGCCTCCACTACGCGGTGATATTGACTTTTCTCGAGAGGCACATTCTCACACAGACGCGCTCTAAAATCTAGGATCTAAGGATACTAACTTGCTAGTTTGATCGTGGCCGTCCGGGAGACAATCGATCCGACATTATCTACGCTGGCTAAGCACTGATAACTTCCGGTTACTTCCGCGCTACCGGTGTATACGCTATTTATGTACAAGGAGTTGTTCGCTAGCTGTGATCTACAAAAAAAAAAAGACAAGATCGGGGTGTGTTTCCTTGAGAGAATTGAACGGGGACGCTGCGGGGAGTCTGTCTCTCCTAGAGACGCATCACGCCGATATTACCGATAAGTGTCTCCGATAAACGAGATCGGCTGACCGTCGTCCGTGCGCCAACTTATACTCGGCGCGCCAAAGACGCTCCTCGCCTCGCAGTCCAGCCTCGCGGGACCACCCTGCTCCACCACCACATCCCGCGGCTCGATGATGAAGTCCAAGCCTCCCGCATTGACTGCAAACAGAGAAAATGGGAAAAGTTAGTGAAAGAAATGGATCCTCCTATTAAAACTATTAAACTCTCTCGTTCGCGTACGACATAATTCAGTGGAGAATTCATACTTTCGAGGACTTGACGCTAATATTCGAGAAGTCTTTCTTCAAAAGAGAAAAAGAAAATTAATAAAGTAAGTTTAATAAAAAATAACTTGGATCTCTAAATTTGATTTTTTTTAATTTAGCGATTTATTTTCAATTAAATTCATTTACTTTATTAATTTTATTTTGCTTTTTTAAAAAAAATGTTCGACGAATATTATTTAGCTTCGCCAAAAATGGACTCTCCACTGTATTTATATTATACGCGAACGAAAATTTAATAATAATTCAATAATAACTTCAATTCAATAATAATTTATTAACGAAGTATTCGTGAAATTAATATAATATTTACAAAATTATGATTTCACATTTACAGCACAAATCTATATTGCCTGTATTTCTGTTTTTATTTCCTACATTATTTTTCCCTACTTATTTTTAACATTCTCCCCCGCACAACGAATGACGTAAAGGCAATCATTCTCTCGCTATCACCGCAATCCCAATTCAATTTGTCAAGCGCTCGAGCTTCCGGATAAGAATCGCGACTATTTCAGGGGCTTCGCAGTCTGTTTACGCGGGGAGAGGGATGTTTAACGATCACACCCGGTTAGAGAGGCAGCGCTATTGCGCTATCAAATTTCGACCCCCTCGGGCCGCTTTGTCGTGACCCACGCGTGCACGACGCACGTTAGTTAGGGGGTGTAGATGTTAAAAGAGGGCGGAGAAGGAAGAACCCGGCGGCGCATCGGGCGGGAATCGTTTCCTCGAAGGGAAACAGGCTGCTACGAAGGGAGAGAGAGAGAGAGAGAGAGAAGCGATTCGAACAAAGGGTCGTCCACCCTACATGCGGGGCGCCCTTTTGCTTGCCTGCCTATTCGCCTGGCGAGACGCCCAAATGCCTGAATTCTCTCTCTCTCTCTATCTCTTTGCCTCCGTCCTTCTTCGCATGGCACGACCGTGCCCCTTGGCGCGATTGCACTATCGCGATACGAGACGATTTAACGTACGAGAATCGACCGTGATGGAGAAAGAGAGAGAGAGAGAAAGAAAAGGGGGAGAGACGGAAAAAAAAAAGAAAAATGCCTCCGCTCGCGGGACATTTTTATGGGCGGCGAGGCGAGAGATCATTCGGAGACGATTTCTTCTCTTGCGAGACTGCAACGCGCTGCTTCGATATTTCTCGGCGGTACGATGCTAATGTGGTGATGGTGGTTTGAGAAGAAAACATCAAGTGCTTAAATATTCATAACTATTGACAGAGAATATTTTATCAAAACGATATGAGAGAAATGAAAATGCGTCGCATTATTTCATTATTGTATCGATTTCGTGTTGAAGAAAAAATGTACATTCGTTACCTCCTTATTATATTTCAATTTTTGTGTATATTATTTTAAAAATAAAAATAGATTTCAAAGTAAAATAATTCCAAGTAGCAATTTTTTTAATAATTAATATTTGAACAAAAAAAGTTGAAAAAAGTCTCAAGTTTGAGCAATGAAAAGCGTCTTGAAAATTTTCTGGACTTAAAAATGCTCGTATAAAAAAAGCTGAGTGCTTTTTCCTTTTATATTGCGATCTCAAGAAGGAGCCGAGGCGGAACCACCGCGCGGAGGTTTTATTTATTATATCATGCTTCTAAACTACCTCTCTCGAACGCGCGGCGCATGACAAACTGGAATTCCATCGGCAACCATCGATCATTCGGATTTTTCTAAACGCGCGTACCGCGTGTACGCAACACACGGCGCGACATTATTCCAACATTCTGCATTAATCGCGCGGCATTCGCTGAAAGGCATTCGCAGGACCTTTGGTCTCCGGTCTTTGCGAGAAAAAGCGCTCGAGTATTCAGGTCTCAGCTTCTTCGAGAAGAGAGAGAGAGAGGAAGCTTCTAATCGCTACGCTTTTCTTTCTCGTTTTCATATTCCAGCAAAATGCTCGAGCGTCGAGATCTCGCACGCGCGCGTTATCTCGTTTCGGTGTCGTCAGAATGTAACGCAGTATCCGCGCGGAATGTTGCACGCTCCGGGAATATCTCCAGATATGAGTGGATACTGACGTCGGCAAAAGAGAGCCGACGTCATTTAAAGGCGGTATGCACACGTATCATCATTTTTATCCGCGATTTCCAATAAACTCAAGGTCGGGGTCGAGCATTTGAAGCCGCGTTAGAACATTTTTTCCCTCTTTTCTCTATACGATCTCGGAATATCGTGAGAAATTCCACTTTATCCGCGCTATCGTTTCGGAATAAATTCCTACAGATCAATCTCAATTCCGCAAATATTTCGATTAAGCGGAAGACCGCCGCGCTGTTCGTTATCAGAGAAAACGATACTCGCGCGTTCGGCCGATTAGTTGAATATCGGAGGCGGATATCGGAACCGTTATTCTAACGAATATCGAAACTAACGTTCGCGCGAGAGGGAGAGAGAAATTGTTTTAAGAACCGTTTAGCGAAACTCGATGCTTAAATGAGACATAATGAATTTTAATCACCGATTATAACGATATGTAATTATGCACGGTCGAACAATCGATAATGATCTGCAATTAGCGTGACGTGGATTATCGCCGTAACGACGTAACGATTAAATGAGGCGAACGGCTTTCCGGGAAATCGAGAACCAGGTGCGAGTTTATACTTTGCTTGCTAATCGTGTGCGAAAATAATTTTTTCGCAATAATAAAAAAAGAGAGAGAAATAGAGAATGATTAGAAGCTTTGTTTTTTGAACATTTCTCCTAGTATAATTGTAATTGAATTCCACGAAATTCTGTCGCGCACGATCCAGCGCATTATTGGGTTACAGTTCCAATTGGCGAACATTTTCGCGTAACCACAGCATCGTAAATGGTGCTTTCAGAGAAACCTAATCCAACGCTCTGTTTCTCTCTTCCTCTCCCTTTATCCCGTGACTGAGAGCCACTGACGGCGGTTATTGGGTTACAGTTTCACGCTCACGGTGGTCTGTCACCTTCGAGCGCGCGAGAAAGAGAGAGAGCCCGATGATCCCATCACGGATGGACGATGGCCTGAGCCGAGCCATCAAACGCAATTTCCCATCGGATCGGCGGAGAAAAAAACCCGATGATCGTCGTTGCACCGTAAAACAGATATTCGTGAAATGTTCTAACTGAAACTCTTGCGGAATTAATTTCGACGAATAAATGGATATTAAATATTTTGTCGTCATTTTAATGCTATTGAATAAGATAAATATAATAGTTAACTACTGTTTTATCTGAGAAATTTTATGAAGATAGAAAGAACATAGTTTGCGAATTACGTGCTTCAATTATTTTCAGAATTATGCGCAGGATTGTCATAAAACACTGTGTGAACTTCGACGAGGGATCGCAAAGGATGTAAAAATGACTTAAATATCGACTTTAAATTTATACAATATCTAAGAAACCTTTTTCAGAAGACAAAATACATTCCACCATGTCGCGTGTTCTATTCGATTTCGCTCTCTCACGACCTCCTTGCACTTTTCAAGTTCAGGGACTGCCTCTGTCATTCCTGCGACCTGCGTCTCATCGGTCAAGATGCCAGCGAAGAAAAAAGAAACGGAAAAAGAAGAGAAAAGAGAGGGAGGAAGAAAAGAACGTGCGCGCGCGCGCGCGCGCGATTCAGTGCCGTGTAGCGCCGCGACGCCTGCATCCAACGCGCGCTCGAAGACGGGAAAATAAACTATTCGGCGTTGCGCCGTTTGATTTACGAGTACAAGCGACAACCTACCGCACGGGACACCGAAATAGACCGGACTAGCACTATTACAGTGTGCGTATTGTGTATACACGAGATAAATCCATCGCGCGATCACTGCACTTTGCAAACGGTGCACCGGGTGTTCTCGGTGTACAAATGCATGTCTTTAAGATTACAATCAATTTGCTTTTTACGCAACTGCAATTAATTCCAGTTGAGATTCTGCGCTACATTATTACCTTCTCGCAGTTTTATTCTTATCAAATGTACACACGAAGAGTGTAAGCGGGAAAAATGAAATATAAATAAAAGCTGCTATCGCGAACAAGTTTATACGCAATCGGACGGTTTCGCGCAGACAAGATTTGTTATCAAGCTCAAATGTTTGTTTCCGTTCAAACGCTGGCAAAAATTGCCTCGTCGCGCGCAGTTGACACGATCGTCGGTGGCGAGATACCGGCGAGATAGAGCAGCTTTCAGATGTTTCCTCCTTCACGTGTTTGTAGATTTTCCGTGGCAGCAACGTGCTTTTTGCAAGCAGCAACGCATAGATAGTTATTATCTTGTTACGCAACGAACAACTGTTGACATTAGAAAAACATGAGAAAGACAACATGCGATATATGTGTCTTTCTATCAATATTACAATCGCTGCCAAAGATAACACGTTGTCAAGATTAATAAAAAAAATTTTAAGAGGAAAAATCCGGACTTCTGCCAAGATGAAATAAATTTAGCCAATTATAAAGTATTTTGCTTAATAACTGTGATATTTTCCGCCGGTAAAAAAATATTTGTTTTCGTGTGTCAAGATTATTTAATTAAAATGCACCAATTTTGAATTAAAGTTTGCAGAATTTATACATCAAAATTTTACATCGCTTGGTTCTCAGCCTTCGTTGATTTAATTTTATATTTTCTCTGAAAATTCTGCAAGTTTAATTTAAGATCGGCGTAAATATCTTATTTAAATAATCTAAAGATAAACAAAAATAATTTACAAACAATTTTTGCCTCGCTAGACAGATTCGGAAAGTGGCACATCGTGATTTATATTGTTTACATCAAGGTAACAGATTAAAGTAAAACAAATCGTGGCAGCAGGAGAATATATCAAGGCTTATACGCAGGAATGTGAGAATCTCGTATTTTGGGGGTGCACCACACATATTTAAGTGCGCTCGCACGTATTCG